TATTTGTCAGCATTCAAAATAGCAGGTTTTGTCTTCAGCCTCAGTTCAAACAAAACAGGTGCTGCTTCTTGTCAGTATAATACACAGTCTTAAAACAGAAGCAGAAATATGCTTAGCTTCAGCACAGATTCCAAACCCAAAGGGCAAGCTCAGCAACCAGAAATACTTTTAAGCAAGTTTTTCAGTGAGGTCTGAGCTGCACACAAGTCTCCTCTCTCCAGACACCAACACTCCTCTCTCTCTGTTCACCTGGTAAATAATCAGGGCTATAAAGAAAGTACCTGCTCTTTACAATTAATCCAATTTCAACCCTTCCCTGTTATGAAAATCACCAAACAATCACCACTCCCTTTTGGGCTTATCCTAACGGGAGCGGTTTCACCTAGGGCTGCTAATTCTGCATTTGACATCTTAAAACGGAGTTCCGCTCACCCTGTCAATAAATAAGTCAGCAGCTACAAAAACTGTAGCTGCTGACTTTTAAAAAACAGCCACTTACCTGTCCCTCGGTCCCGTGGTGTGTACCCCACTGTCCATTTCACCGGCCGTCCTGTATTCCAGGAGGCTGGCATCTTCAGTGCGGGCACCCGGCTGTGATTGCTTGAGGCTTCACAGCCGGGTACCCACTACACACGCGCAAGAAGCGCTGCACTTTGAGAATGGTCCTGTAGTCTTCTGGGATCTGTTACGTGTCCAAAAAGGCTACAGCGAGGGAGGGAAGGAGGACACTTTCCGTTTCCAATCACTTAGGCGATCGGACCGGAAGTGGGAGCGGGTACCTGTCAAATTTGGGTACCCACTCCCCCCCAACCCCCAAAGGTGTCAATCCTTAATGGGGAATGGAGGAGCAGTCCTTCAAGCGGAACGTCCCCTTTTTGGTGGAGCTCCGCTTTAAGGTATTTGTTAAATGTAGCTAGGTCATGGCAGGAATACGACAGCAGAGGGTTCCAGAAATGTAGCAAAGGCAAATAGATGAATAAACATACAGATGCACTGGTTCAGTGAGATAACACTTCAGATGCACAAGGATCCAATTCCAGATCTCAGAGGCTTGCATCCAAACTGGTTGTCCAGTGACAAGCAAGAGACTTTAAAAGTAATATGCAGCCATGAGTAAATGCTGTGTGGAACTAGAAGCCTGCAACCAGCAACCAAGATGCTATCCGAGAAGAGGAGGGACTGTGCTGAGTCTTGTTGCTTGTAATGCCACCACTGGGTGGAGAAACTGCACATTCCATTGCCAGGATAAGATGGGGAAGAGTACTGGTGAATAGGAAAGTAAGCATGCTGCCTTGCCACTGGCTCCTTGTTAATCTTGAGATATCCCTCCACCTATCATATGTAACCCACATATTGCCTGCTCAATGAGCTAAGGATTCCTTTCAATTTATCAGTTTCTCCCAGTGTTGCATATTAGTTCTCCAAATACCAAAGGTTGAGCTTCCAGTAAGGCAACATATTCATAACTGTCACAGAAATATTGGCTCTGGAACTGTTATTTCAGTTGCTCATGCATGTAACATAGCTATACACTGATCTTACGCTAACCTTTTTGCCACTTATTTTCCCATTTATGCTCCAAAGTAGCTCATGTACTTTTTTTGGCAGTGAGCCCAGAGTGTTTTGCTTTGCATGTTTTTTGGTGTTCTTCGTACATAGGTTGCGTGGTAAACTTGCAACACAAATGTGCAACTGCTATCCACATTTGGGCTGCCATTAAGATTAATGGCACCACAAGCACAATGTGCTTTTTGCCACATATTTAATGTATTTCCAGGAACGTGCACAGAAACACATGTTTCTGTGCAGGTTCCCAGAATACAAAAGTGTGAATGGGACATCAACGTTTGATGCTTCTTAAACCAGGCATTTTTTTTTGTTAACCTTCACTACAAACAGTTTTTGAAAGACATCAATGCCATACAATCGAGCTTTAAGAATATCACAATATAAAGTATTTATTAAGTCTAGGTCACAGAAGATATAAAAATGTGCATTTTGCATTTTTTCTTACTTCATATACTTTATTTCAATTTACCTAGTTCATAAGCTACAAAGTGCTAATAAGTGAAAGGTCCAAATGTTGTAGGCATCCATTGCCTGGCACATACAGGTCTTCTTAATTTTATACATAGTGTATATATATTATATTAAATAAAAAATGCCTGTTTTGAAAACCCATTGATCAGTTGTTTTTAGAACTGAAAAAACTTAACCCGTGACATTAAAATTAACTTGTTGATTTCAGTCTCAGTGCTAAAGTCTACTCAGGGTTGGAATCTTGAAGCTTGACAGAAACTCCTATTGGAAAAAAATATATACTATAACGGGGCTTTTACACTGACTACCAATGTAACAGGGGTATTTACACTGATCATCAATGTAATCTCAATGGCCACCAAAGCCTCCAGTGAAGTTGTGGCTAGTATAAATGACGCAGTTACATTAGTGGTCAGTGTAAAGTCCCCAGTTATATTGGTGAACAGCGTAAATGCCTTAGTTGCATAGATGGGCAGCAAAACAATTCCTCTGTTGAAGCGTGTTAACACTTGTGGCTGTCATTGCTAATGTACTAGAAATCAATCTGTAGTTGAATTGTTTTTCAAAGGCTTTTGACAGTTGGCTGAGAGGCAATATGCCAATGTCTCATGGCCTGTATTAATCCTCGAAAGCCTGCAGCATCATGTTCCAACTGCTTGCATCACACACAGTTGCAGGGAGGTTGTGGTGAATCTCCAATTACCTGCATAGGTCATATTTGGTGGTAGTATTGCTTCCCAAATGCAACATGGGTATAATTTACACTAACATGAGAAGAGAGAGCACGTACACAGGGGAAAGCTCGATTTACTAGTTACTACTACTTACTAGTGAGATTTGTTGTGACACATCAATGTTTATGTTAAAGACCAAGCAAGCAGATAGAGAATGAGACAGAGCACCCAGTCGAACATGCAGGGATCTTCTATTTTTTTCTCTGTTAAAGAATCACTGTTAAAAACATTATTTATGATAGTAGAAAGGAATGCATGAAGTCTGTGTGGATCTTTATCCACTTGCCGCTTGATCACAGTAGATTTACTGTGACCGAGCTGCAGCTGCTAGCTCAGCAACATAAATTAAAGTTGCCGCTTGCTTCCATGTTTGGGACACACATGCATGCATCCCTTCTGCTCCACATTGTAATTGGACACAGCATAATTTTGTTGTTAGGTTTCAGGAAATTATAAATTGCAGAGACCTGTTGATTGCCTAATCACAGAACATAAGGATGAAGGGAGTGGGGGAACAGTGAAGACACAGCATCAGTCAAAGGGAAGAAGAAAAGGTAATCACAAAGCACTCTACCTACTCATGCTGGCTAGGGACGCTAGAAAATTATATTATGTTTTTCTGCATCTGACGGCAGATCTAAATGTAGAGTTTTACTGTCTTTTTCCCTTGTCCAAGAATGTTTACAGAGTGGAGAAAAGGGGGTTGTTTTTTTACAAAATGTCTGTAAAATAGGTTGGCAATCAACTTTCCACAAAGTGCTGATCGGTGGAAGTTCCAAATGCAGGAGAGTTGCATTGCCTGGCAAATACAGGTCTCTAATTTTTTTTCTGAAATTAAAAAGGTATATGCTCAGTGAGAAAGAATAATATGTAAGGGATCAGCACTTCACACGCATTTCTTCAAGTTCAATTCTCTTTGGTATTGACATAGTTGTACTTGAATTATACAGCTGGAAAGATTTCCCCTTATACATTTAGGGCACAATTAGCTTAATTAAAATGATCTCATATCCTAAATTTACGTGTGCCCTTCAAATGCTTTCTTTGACTCCACAGTGCATTAAGACAATGTTAAATTAAGCTAAATAGTTTTGTACTTTATTTGCTACTTCTATTCTGTGCACAGCAGAATACAATTTGAAAATTGGTTCTATGCAGTGCTGTCTTGAAAAGTTCATGTTCTCTGCAGTGAAGACTTCAAGTTCAAGTGTGTATATATATATATAGTTAGCTCCATAATGGATTGAGTTCTTTACATATTAGAACATATATTTATAGTCAGGTTTATGGCAGGCTTGTGATTAAAGCTCTAAAGTCACTGAATTAGCCTTTTTAACAGATAGGCTTCTGATTGGGTCATACACAGTTTCTGTACAACTAGAAAAACAACAATACCCCATCACTCCACATGCACTGAAGTCAGTGCAAATACAAATTAAACTAATTATTGCAGTGCACAAAAATTCCGATGAGATATATATATATATATATATATATATATATATATATATATACTGTATATGTACAAGGGTTGGACAAAGAAAAAGAAACACTACATGATTTGCAGGTGTGAAAGTGATGACATGTTTTGCATTGAAAGCAGAAGTTATGTAACACTCTTTTGCTTCCCCCATGTGATGAGACACTTCATTCACTGCGTACACTGCTAGTAATATGAAGTTGTGTCAAAGTTTACTGAGCTTCAAAGAGGTCAACTTGTTGGTGCCCACTTAGCTGGTGCCTTTATGACTGAAGTTTCCAATTTATTTGCTGCGTCACAAGGTACAATATCAAAGGTTATGACGGTATATACAGTTTTCAGGAAAAAGTCATCTGATAAGCATAAGCATGATCGACCTGGACTCGGAATAAAAACACAACTGCTGCAAAAGTGACTGCACAGCTCAATCTCAGTCTTCCCCACCCATAACTTCTAATTATGACTGATTTTGAATACATTTTACTGCGTTTAGGGTAATATATCATTTATTACAATTTTCTTATATATCTCTCACATAGATACTGTAATTGTACCTGTGAAGTCCTTTCCTTCTAGTTCTCCTCTGGTACACTCCTGTGCTTGTCAAGGTAAATTCCTTTGTGGCCTGGGGATTGACTCACCCATTGAATAGATATGCATTACATACTATGTAATAAAATAATTGATCAAACTCTATTTATATATTATATTGCCAAAAGTATTGGGACACCTCTCAAAATCATTGGATTCAGGTGTTCCAATCACCTCCATGGTAAAAGAATGGGTCGCTCTCAGGAGCTCAGTGAATTCAAGCATGGTACCGTGATAGGTTGCCACCTGTGCAATAAGTTTATCCATGAAATTTCCTTGCTACTAAATATTCCATGGTCAACTGATAGCGGTATTATAACAAAGTGGAAGCAACTGGGAACAACAGCAACTCAGCCACAGTGGTAGGCCACATAAAATGACAGAGCGGGGTTAGAGCATGTTGAAGCACACAGTGTGTAGAAGTCTCCAACTATTTGCAGAGTCAATAGCTAAAGTCTTCCAAACCTCATGTGGCCTTCAGAATAGCACAACAACAGTGCATAGAGAGCTTCATGCAATGGGTTTCCATGGCCGAGCAGCTAAATCCAAGTGCAAAGTAAACAGTCAGATGCAGTGGTGTAAAGCACGTCGCCACTGGATTCTAGAGCAGTAGAGACATGTTCTCTAGAGTGACGAATCGCGCTTCTCGGTCTGGCAATCCAATGGTTGTTTTTCAGGGTTGGACTTGGCCCCTTATTTCCAGTGAAGGGAACTCTTAAGGAGTCAGCATACCAATACATTTTGGACAATTTCATGGTCCCAATTTTGTGAGAACAGTTTGGAGATAGCCCCTTCCTGTTTCAACATGGCTGTGCACCAGTGCTCAAAGCAAGGTCCATATAGTCATAGATGAGTGAGTTTGGGGGGAAGGAACTTGACTGTCCTGCACTGACCTTTGGAATGAATTGGAGCAGAGACTGCAAGCCAGATATTCTTGTCCAACATCAGTGCCTGACCTCACAAATGTGTTTCTGGAAGAATGGTCAAAGATTCCCATAGACACACTCCTAGGCCTTGTGGGCAGCCTTCCCAGAAGAGTTGAAGCTGTTATAGCTGCAAAGGGTGGGCCAACTCAATATTGAACCCAGGGACTAAGACTGGGATGCCATTAAAGCTCATGTGCATGTAAAGGTCAGCGGCCCAATACTTTTGGCAATATAGTAAAATAAAATATGATGTAAGTAAATATTTGTATGTATTTTTTACTTTCCGGTCGGGATTCACCTAGAGGCTTAGACTGGCAGCTGGCTCAGCCTCCTCAAGCCATTAAGAGCCAAAACCACCCGCTTGCAACCCCTCCACAGCCAGCGCTCTAGGGAGCGCTAGTGGGGCAGAACAGAGAGCTGGTGACTGACAGGCTGAGAACTGAGCAGTCAAAGTTTCTTTGATCACTCAGATCTCAAAAGCATCTGGGGACAGATGCAGCATCGGACTGATGCTGCATCCACTTAGATGAGTATGATTTTTATTTCAATAGATTTTTATTAAGAATTTGTGTGCACAGTAATACACAGTACTTCAATATGTGAAGGCACATACACATAAAAACAAGAAGCAAAATTATAAATATACTGTAGAAGCGGATAGTTACTTGTGTGATGTTGGTATAGAAGAACCAAATAATATATATTCCATCTGAAAACACTTTTATGGTGAGTAAATCAGTTGAATATTGGGAACCACTAAAAAAAAGGGGACCATAGGTTCCTACTACTGTCAAATTAGTTGTTTGTAGTGTACAATTCTTTATACTGGATAGCCCATTGGGATCATTTTTTTTGAGCTGTGTGAATGTGGCCTTTACTTCAGGCAAATATACATTCATATGCACTATGTAATTGAGTAAGAGCAATTACTTCAGAGCAGGAAGAACTGGAGTTAGAATGCCAGTTGAGAGTGATGACCAATCTAGCAGATAAGATGATATGAATGATTATGCATCTGGTAGGGTGAGGGAGATTGTCTATGCCCAAGTTTAAAAGAGCAAGTTCTGGTGAAGGGTCAATATGGATGTGTGTGAAATTCTGAATTAGTTTAAAGACATCAACCCAGAAGTTGGATATGATGCTACATGACTACAGTATGTGCAAAAATGTGCCATGAGATCCACACCCTCTTCAACATAAGGGTGATGTAGAGGGGTCTATTGTGTGCAGTATGTGAGGAGTTCTGTACCAATGGAGGGTGATTTTATATGATAGTTCCCAAAGATTAGCAGATTTGGAGGTTTTAAAAGGTACATTTATGGCAGCTAACCATTGTGCTTCAGTAAAGGAGGAACTCAACTCTTGTTCCCATTTAACATGAGAATTTTATTTGCTGAATGTTAGTTTGTCTTGCAAGAGTTGATATAAGAGGGATATACCTTTAAGGTGAGTGTTCTCCCCTGACCAGAACTTCCATGCTGGTTTGGAAACACAGAGGATTAGATTAGGGCAATGTATTAGGTAGTGAGTAATTCTAAAGTATAGAAAATAATCAGTGGTACTTAACGTAAACTCTTTTCAAAGTGTTGGAAAGGATTTGATTTGAGTACTCCTGAAGAGTATTAGTTTGATACTGTACATATTTAATACCTCTCCCTACCCATGTTTCAATATTGATGTCAGGAATTAATAAAGGAAGGGTATGGTCAAGGGAATTGGTAATTGGGTGCATGAAGTATCATTAGATGTTTTGAGCAGTAGGTAATGGAATGCTGACAATGAAGCAACTATAGTTGGAGAAAGATGCTTGTCTGTGTTTCTTTTCTGGAGACAGCTAATAAGCCAGGTGTATAGGTTGTGGCTTGGGATTTGAAAAGACTCCAGCTCCTTCCAAATACTTTGTGATTGGAGTGCAAACCATGCTTTTAATTGTGCTAATATTGTGGCAAAATAGTAATCTTTAAAGTCAAGATAACCCATGCCCCCTACTGATTTGTGCTTAATTAGTTTAATATGGAAACATCTTGCTCATTTACCTTGCAACACAAAATGTGAGAGTAATGATTGACGTTTCTTAAAGTATGATGTGGGTATAGGAATATGTAAGGATCAAAAAAGTTATAGCAATTGTGGAAGCTTAAGCATTTTGAAGGCAGCTAATCTACCTGACCAAGAAAAAACATTTTTGAAAAGGGTGGGTAATTCTGATTGCAGAGTTTTAAGAAGAGGTAGAACATTTTCTTGAAAAAGAGAGGTTTTGTTAGTTGTGAGGTGTACTCCTAAGTAGGATATAAAGGTTTTTGCCCAAGCATAGGGGGAAACATTCAGTAAGGTTAGTTTGAACATTAGGTACATTAAGGCCCAGTATGTAAGATTTAGCTTCATTTACCTTATAGTAAGATATTGAACTAAATTCTGATAGTGTTGTCTGTACAGCAGCTATAGAAGTATCTGGGTTGGCTATCATAAATATTAAGTCATCGGAAAACAAATTGATTTGCTTTCCCTCTGGCCAATTAGAAATCCTGAAATGTTTAAGTGGGAGTGCACTTTTTGAGCAAATGGTTCCATAAGAAGGTTAAAGATAAGGGGGAATATAAGGAAGGATGTGGAAAGCATAGCTGAGCAGAAAACCTGGGCTGATGCTTTGGAATATAGTGCTATGATTGCTGAAAGGATATGGCTTTGAAATCCAGATTTCTGCAGGGTTTGCTTTAAATAGGACCAATGGACTTTGTCAAATGCCTTCTCTGCATCCAAATAGAGGAGCAGAGAAGGAATTGTATGATGATTGGTATGGTGAATAATACTGATTAAACGCCTAGTTACGTCTGCTGTTTGTCTCCTTTTTGTGAATCCGGATTGATCTGGATGGATTAAATTAGGAAGTATGTCTATGATATTGTCTGCAAATACATTGGCAAACAGTTGAGGTCTTAAAGTGTTACTAAACAAACAACAGTAAAATCAGTCAGTATATGCAGTAAAGCATGCTTGTTATACTTACTGTGGAACCTAAGGAGTTAATGGTCTGAATTGCGTAAAAAGACTGTTTGATCCTGACTTCTATGATGCTCCCCTTTCCCAGTGTCCCCCTCTCATCTCCTAATAAGAGATACTGTGTGAAGTCACTCTGCACATGCTCAGTTTGGTGTGTATTGCTAGAGTTTTGTTTTTTTTTCTTGGAGAGTGCATGTGATCAGCACAGGGCCAATCAGCACTGTCAAGGCAGAGGCCAGGGGTTCTGCATCCTAATAGAGCAAAATTAGAACTCATCCTACAAGCTTTACCAGTGCTCAGCTGGACACTGATTTAAGTCACAAGACTGCTCTAACTGCTGATGAGATAAGGTATTTGGCAGTTTATATCTACTAAAATAATTGCATTTCCATGTTCTGTATACTGTGGAAGACCAGATATAGTAAATAAAGGGTCCTGGGTTTAGTAACATTTTAATTCAATAGCGATATAGGGTGGAATTTCTGAGGGGAAGTGGGTCCTCTCCCTGGTTTTGGTAGGGTAATTATTAAAGATTTTAACACATCATCAGGAAAAGAGGAAGAGAGTGGAGCAGCACTGAACAGTGACACTAGAGGATCTAGTGAAGAGAGTGGAGCAGCACTGAACAGTGACACTAGAGGATCTAATAGAATAGAGGTGTATTGCTTATAATATTCAGCAACAAAACCATCAGGTCCTGGAGCTTTGTTGTTGGGAAGAGATTTGATGACTTTGTTTTTTTCATAGTTTGTAAATGGAGAATTTAATGACTCAATGTGGGTTAACCAGGTAGTTGAATGTGCTGTCAAAATGATGATATGGTGGAAGGAGAAGGCTGTAGTAGTGGAATCATCTTGAAGATTATATAAAGACTTATAGTACTCACTAAATGCATTGGCTATGTCTTTGGGGTTAAGTAGATTTTCTTTAGTGATGGGACGATAAAGGTAGGAGATGTTTGTTTTGGTTTGCTGACCTTTAATTTGTTTGGCCAGTAATTTACCTGCTTTATTGCTCGTTCCATATAAGTAGGATTTGAAATGTTTATGGGCAAATTCAAATTGTTCTAATGGTGTGAATCAGAGTTCTAAGCCGAGGTGGCCTAACTTGTTTTTCAAGTGATCACTTGCATGTTTTTTGTTTAATGAGTCAAGGTCTTGGATTTCTTTTAGTAAACCATTTATGCGCTGCGTTCTCTTCCCTTTTGCTCTAGACCCTTGTATAAATATTTCACGCATATAGGCTTTGTCTGCCATCTTAACTATAGCGGAGGTAGAAAGTTTGTCCTTGTTGATAATGAAGAAATTATCCAGATGTTCTTTCAGAATGGTTTGGTATGGGGAAGACTGCAGAATGCAAGTGTTCATATGCCAAGGAAAGGTGGGTGGAGAGTTAGTCCGTAATGGTAATGCTAACAAGAGAATGATCAGGCCACATGATCGAACGGATGGTGGAAGTAGAAATGTTTTTGTAGAGTCCACTGGTCAGTTAGGAATAAATATGTTCTTGAGTAAGAATTGTGACAGGGAGAAAAGAAGGTACAGTCACGATCCTCTGCATGTTGACATCTCCATCTTTCTTGCAGCTGGAAATCTTTCAAAAGGGG